AGTGCAGTGGCAAGATCTCAGCTCACTGCAACCTCTGCCTCCCAGGTTCAAGCAATTCTCCTGCCTCAGCCTCCCGAGTAGCTGGGACTACAGGTGCATGCCACCACACCCAGCTAATTTTTGTTTTTTTAGTAGAAACAGGGTTTCACCATATTGGCCAGGATGGTCTCAATCTCTTGACCTCACGATCCACCAGTCTTGGCCTCCCAAAGTGCTGGGATTACAGGCGTGAGCCACCGCGCCCGGCCCAGCCACCGTGAAGCTTTACAATTTTCACTGCTGTTGTCTGGGACTTTTAAAGTCACCTTAGTGAGCATCTGTTGGTTTCTTCCTTTTCAGGGTTCAGTCCCCTTTCTTCTACGATCCGTGTCTTTAGTTCTGTGGGTTACCACATGCACTGTGGGTGCATGTGGACCATGGGGCTGACCACACTCCCCTCCTTCCGGGAATAGGCAGGTGACTTTGGCCTGCTGGCTGACATATCCCACTCTGCTGACCACTGTGATTGGTTCTAGGATGGGTGTAGGATCCAAATTGGCCAGATTCAATCCTAGGACCTATATGGGACCTAAGGTTGTCAATCAAGGACAACCTCAGTTAAATTGAACTTTGGATCATCAAGGATGTGTTCCAAATATTTGCTAAAGCTGGCAACCCTCGTCAGACTATTACAGAGAAGCTTTCTTTGTGCTGAATGTGTGGAGCTGGTAGAATGTGATTCTGTAGTTGTCAGGAGAAAGCCGTACAGGGAGCAAGGCTTTCCACAGGTAAGTCACTATAGAGGAAGTGGACCTGAGATAAAGGCAGTACTGTACCTGATGGCATTGCTGGAGGCTCTAGATCCAGCCATACCTGAAGCTGGAACAATCTCACAATCAACAAAGTCTCTTCTTCACATAAGCCCGTGTGAACTGGTTCTTTGTAATTTGCAACAAAGAATGATGACTTGTAAAGTCGCTATTCAATACTTAAGGCAATGTGTGAAATCCTCTCAAACCTCCTGCTGTAGGTTTGTCCAGACTTTGTAGACACATGGAAGAGAAAACTTAGTCCGAAAAGTAATGAGAAATATGTTTAAGTGAATCCAGTATCTCAGACAGCTCTGCTTAAAGAGTAATTTCATCTTCTCTTTTAACAAAAGGCAGTGTTACAATACTGCAGAAAAGATGAGGTTTTCAAAGGAGTAGAGTCTTGTCAAAGCTGGCTTCCCTCTGCAGAAAGGGCAGCACAAAGGACCCTTCATCCTGCTGAGTACTCCCTGGCTGCCTGATCAGTGAAAGCATCATAAAAGCAATTGGAGGAACTGGAGCAAGGCGAGCTGGACTTGCTTCTGTGCTGGATCCCGAGAATGGCTGGACATCTGTCCTCTGAGAACTTGGAAATAGAGGTTCTTGCTTGTTTCCTGTGTGTAGGGTTATTAATTCAATGCTAAGGGATGAGAGACAGGAATCTCATAAAAAGACACAAATGGCCTCCCAGGGTCACAGGATTGAGAGAGAGAGAGAGAAAAAATGAATGCATGAAAGTATGTAAAAGAAGAATGTCAGCAAAGAGGGACTGATGGGCTCGGAGACCCAAAGTTATGTCATCTGGAAGGCAAGCGTAGACCAAGTCCATCCTCGCACAGACTGGAGAGGGTGCTTTGCTCCCCCAGGTGTGGACGCTCACATTTTCTTGGTCGGGCCAACCTCTGAGGGGCTGACATGGGTTGAAAATTTCACAAGCTCAACCCTCCCCTTGCTGTGATTCCAGAAGGTCAATTTTAGAGACTTTGGCTTCCTACCTTGGTGGCCTACAGAGTGGGAAATATGTGGCTCTTCAAATATGCACACTGTATTTCAAAGTGTACATCAACAGAATGCTCCTGCCATTCTCTTTTATAGGCTTGTTTTTCTTGTAGCAGTCTCCATTATCTACTCTGGAATGTTGCGGGAGTGGAGACTGGACAAAGTCTGAGACAGTGTCATCACCAGTGAGTGGACCCTGCCTCTGCTGGATGTCTGCAGTGTATATGCTGGTGATGGTCCTCAGGTGACATATTGGGAACAAGGGCTACAAGGATCAGAAACCGCTGCCTGGGCCATCTACCTTCCTCTGCCCAGCACACCCGATCAGCAAAGGCCAGGCCATGCTGTCTCCAGGCTCTGCTGATTGTGTGTGATGGAAGTGTTGGAGCAGGAAAGGGCTGGAATAGGACAGTGGAGGAATTCTATTACAGGAAGTGGGGGTATTCTACCAGGGGCCAGATGCTTCTGCTAAAGTATTTGAAATCAGAAAAGCACCTTGCCACAGCAAGGATTGATTTGCTTTCACAAAAGCCAGCTGGTCTCTAGGAAGGACTCGGGTTTCTACTGTTAGCAAAACATAGCCCATGTTGTGGAAGTCTTAAAGCTTACACATATTGATTGACCATGAAAACCACTTGGCTTGAATAATGTTCCTCAAATATCCCCTTATGCCACTGGAAGGAGAATATGGTTCAATGAACCCCCTGCATGTATTTATATCCACTCTATTCTCTTCATTGGCATGAAAC